GTGAAAGTCGCGGACATAGTTCTAGCTACAAATTCTGCTCATTTTGTAATACAAATTATTCATTTTGTGAACCATCCGAAGTGGAAATCCTGTTTTTTATAAAATAATTCATTGTCATATAAAATTTCTTAAATATATATCTGTACGTGTACGTTTTAGATAATCGCTATGAAGGACCTTTATATAATAGCTACGATAATAACAGAAAGTGTAAATTCCAAGCTTAAACTGTAAAGTTACTGAATACTGATCCTTTTTTGAATATTATTTTCCTGTTTGGATAACTATTTCTACGTTACTTTTTATGTAACAGATAAATAAAAATTTTCAGTAAGTGTAGATTTTATTCTTATATTTTCATATTTTTGAATCTGTAATTAATTTTTGATATCGTAAGAATAGGGTTAACAGTTCTTGATGAAATTTCATAAAAAGTTTATGTTTTCGATTCATATTTTGATGAGCACTTTTTTAATAAGTATTAGGTACCGTTTGAAAAGCAAAGTTTTTCATATTATTTTTAATCGGTTTAATTTGATCAATTCTTTTCTTCCTACAATCTAATTTATTTACGAAAATATCACCGATTGAATTGTAAGAATCGTTATTTAGAAATATCCAATTTATTCTGAAACAGTTCAGATTTATTAGTCCTTTGAAGAAGTGAAACAGTGGTAAATTTATTAGTTTCTAGTTTTCTTCAGCAACTTTGTAAAAAAGCCACAAAAATTATAATTTCTTACAAAAAATATAAAATTATTGTAGATATTCTTATTCAAATTAAATTAATCTGGTTAATTCCCAAAATATAAACAATTGCAAATTTAATAAATACCGAAAATATACGTCACCAAAAGTAATTAGAAATGTAAAATGTCTACATACAAATCTTTTAACAAAACCATCATTTTCAGCTTGGTGTAACAAACGTTCTGAACAATTAAATTCCATGTTTTGCAGTTTTGTAGGTTTTTGTTTAATTCTGTACGAACATGTTCTTTGTTCGCATTTTGAATAATATATAGTATTTAGAAACACATACATATATTAAAGCAAATAAAAGCCAAAACTTTTTTTATCTCAATAATAAATAATTAGTACAAATAGAAACATATGTTACATCAATTAATGAGACAACTGCACCCTATAAATAGTACAACAAATAGAAGAAGTAGCTGCTATCAGTTTATCTAATAAAACATCACGCCTGTTTAAAGGATTCGCTCTTTTGCAATTTTTGTCAATATTGGTGTCTTATTTTTCGTGTTTTGAATAAAGTTTATTTAAATACATGTTTAAGCTAATAAAAGTCGAAACTTTTTTAATTGTATAATAATTAGTACCTAATGAATACAAATATATATGTTATAACATGATAAAAATGTAACACACATAGAAATTAGCCGCTATCAGTTTATCTAAAACACTACAAACAATGCTAATTTTAAGTATTTACATACTATTATATACGACAAACTATTATATGCAACTAAAATTTTGTATAATAAAGAAAAGTAAGTCACTTATACAGTTTTGCTTAATTTGATGCGTTTTATTCAGCTTTTTGGGTTGCAGTCCAGGGCCTCGGGGATATAAAGGGCCCCATTGAAATTAAAAGATAATTTATTGTGAATTTAGAAAATAAAAAAGTAATACAACTGCTTTACAATTTACGTATGTAACTGAACTAGGTACAAACAATTGTCCAATTTTTTTCCTATCATTAAATTTTTTTTAACAAAATGGTAATTAGTTTGATCAATTAAGTAAGCCACAAAGTAGTGTTAGTCTAGGGTTCTCCATGTTCACCTAGTTTTATTCTTACATTGAATATGGACAAAAATACTGATACAAAGAATCCTTGAAGAAGGAGTACGTTTCGATATGCTGTATCAATACACAATTGTTACTTTTTTAATTTTTTCTTATTAATAACATTAACTGATCAACACAAAATCAGTATTAAGCTCAAAATACATATTGTTTAAGTACTTATTATTATTAGAATATTACCTATGTAAAAAATACTATAACGTGTAGAAACTGATTTTATAAAAATATTACTTTTGAATAGTTTTAGATAAATTTTCTGAAAACATGGATGTGTGAAAATTTGTTTTTAAAAGTTACAATCAAATATACTTTAAATGAAAAGGTTGGGAAATAACTTGGGCACAAATTAAACGAGATAGACACGACATTGTGGTGATATTGAACGGTGAAAACTTAAAAGTCGAATTACATATTTAAACTGGACTATACGAATTGTTACACACATATCAAAAAAAAATCTGTACAGATGATTTTGCAAATAACATAAAGAAGAGCCAGATTCATTTCGATTTAACTAACATGAGAGTAAATTACTTTTATAAACTTACGAAATTATTTAAAATAAAATCAGTTGTAATGAATCCGTTTAATTTTCCATTGTCACATTGTTACTCATATGCTTGGATATGAAATTGCACGAAAGTATCACAGCAATTGCATGAGATGAGCCAACTAAATTTGACTTATTCATTTTCATTATCCAACAGAAACGAATAATGCTCGGTTCTACTCGTTCTGTTACGATTGCCAAGGTAACATTTTCATTTCAGATAAATTCCACTCCAAATTTAATTTCCTTGAAGCTTTTCCGCTATAGAATACAGTGTCTACAAACCCATTTCCAATGTTCATCCCACTACTTAAAAAACACAATAAAAACTCCCATGGAGAAACTTTTTATTACGAGAAGCTCTCTTGGGAACTTTATCAATATTTTCTTTCGTCAGTCCATAAGTTAGTTGTAGATTATAAGTTCCATGTAGCTCAAAACGTCTTGACTTCTGTAAAAATGACAATGTAATCTCACATAACTCAAAACTCAGACCATATTATGTTTATTTCTTCCTCTTTCATCACTTTTTCAACCAGTAGAAAGTGACATTTCCTTGGGGAAGCGGCTTAGCAATTATATCCATCAGTAGAGTTAGATAACAAGCTCAAGACTTCGATAGGAGGACCAAATCCTCTGGATATTGTTTAGATGCATCCCCAACTTAAATAAAGATCAACCACACAGTTTAACAGCAATGGAAAATGAATTGGAAAGTTTTCTTGAACATTTTTGGATAGTCTGATGTTTTTTGTAAACCTATTTCCAAATGGGCGTTTAATTCTAACTTAGTTTGTTCGCTTTTAAAGAAAATTGAAAAAGGGTGGATTTTATTCATGAATGTACCTGAAGCTTCAATAAAAATAACGCCCAGTAAGCAAAGAAAAACCGAAAAGCAACAACCCACCAACTAATAAATTAGAAATGTTCATTTTTTACAATAAAAAAGCAATTTCAAAATGGTTCTTCTGTTTTCTCCTAAATAATTTGTCCNTTCTCTAATAAAATAAGTTGTTCCATCCACGTTCCCGTTGTCTTTATGCGAACTCATGTCCTGCTCTATGTTTGTCCTAAAAAAAAACGAGATTAAGAATGCACAACTAAGGACCTATTTATTATTTTTTTTGTAAAGTGTATTAATGATGTATTTACCAAAAACTTATGAAGTAGTCTCCTCCACTAACGGCTGCTTGACTTAAAATAAATAACATAAAAATAAAGAATACTGCGATCCATGAGCCGCCAGCTCTTAAATAGGACCAATAGACCGTTTTCGATACATTGCCTGAAGCTTTTGATTCGCTTTGCAGTGTCGGAACTAGCTCTTCGACGCTTTTGCTTTTTGACTTTTTAACGGGTAGTTCTTCTTCGTAAAAATCTTGCTCGTTTTCGTTTTCATCGTTGCCGTCCAATTCCTTCAAAAATTGAAACCTGTCCGTCTTCAGATCGTTGTAGTTTCCATCCTGTACCATTTGTCCTGCGTCCAGGACAATGATCCTGCCTGCACTGTGCAAATACTGGAGTTGATGGGTCACAAGAATAACCAGTTTCCCTTTAAGGAACTTCATAATGCATTCTTCGAAAAGAAACTTGCCGACGTGCGTATCAACTGCTGATAGTGGGTCGTCCAATAGATAAATGTCGGCTTGTCTATAAACGGCTCTTGCCAGGTTTATTCGAGCCCTTTGGCCTCCGCTTAGGGTGGTCCCCCTTTCTCCTACAATAGTCCTGTCGCCGTACGGGAAGAGCGTAAAATCCCTTTCTAATGCGCAAACCCTTACAACATTTTCGTATCTTTCTGAGTCAAAGCTGCTGCCGAAGAGAATGTTTTGCCTTATGGACCCTGAGAATAGCCAGGGTTCTTGCGATGAGTACGAGATTTTTCCGTGGACTTGTAAGGAACCTTCTGAAATGGGGAGTTCCCTTAGTATCAAGTGCAGAAGACTCGTTTTTCCGCTACCGACTTGTCCTACTATAGCTACGAGACTATGGTCTTGTATCTCTAAGTTGATGTTACTCAAAGTCGAATCGCTCTCGTTGCTGGACCATTTTGCGTACGCTCCTTTTATTTTTATCGACACGTTGTGGGTTTCGTTCGAGTTACTTTTACTTAAGTCTAGTTTTCCGTTTTCGAAAGGTCTTCCCGTATTGTCATCGGAGAATTTGTACACGTCGTCCTGAGTTTCCTTTTCTTCGTACAACAGAAACGTTTTGACTCTTTTTATGGAAACGGCGGACTCGGCGAATTCAGTTATACCGCTGGGAAACTGCAGAACGAGCGTTGCCCTCAATATGTTGTAATACGAGGTCAAAACGAAAACGTATTGTGCACTAACGTAATTGTCCGATAACGAATAGGCAAGGACGCAAAGGAAAATAGAAAACCTAACGGCAAATATTTTCAGAGATAGCATGAATCCCCGGATGTAAGACGCGGACAATATTTGCTTTACTTCTCTCCTAAAATACGAAAGATAATAAATTAATTTACATTACATCTATTTACATTGGTTCAACGGACTCGCTACTTACTTTCTCACATTCGATACCAATTTAACAAACGGTTTTTCCCACGTGTACATTTTAATTACTTGAATTCCAGATATTATTTCATCCATCAGTCTCACTCTTTCGTCAGTTCTGAAAGCTGTCGCCAATCGGTAAACGGATGACTTTTTGCCAAGGAACACTAGAAGAACAAATTGGTAATTATTAGGGAGATTTAGATTAAAGGAAATCTAAAATCACACCGAATGCTACGAATACTAATCCACGAGGAGCCTAGGTAGTGAACCTTCCCCAACTAGAATTTAAAGGAACATGTACATGTCATCCCGTATCTACTGTAACTTCAAAAAGAAAACATAAGCAATCAATACTAATCAATATCGAGTTTTTTTGTTTGAAACCGAAACTTTGAACTGACTGATGATGATGACGATTTTGATGGAAAATGTTAAAGTTAAGAAACTCTAAAAGCACTAAATGCAAAAATAAGGACTCGAAAGATCCCGAAGTATTCCCGATTTCTAGTCTGATATTTTCAGAGATGGAGTTAGATACTTACAAGTAGTATAAACATTTATAAACCAGAATGTATTGGTCTTTACTTACTTTGAACAGGAATGAACAAAATCAAGAATATTGATCCTAGAGTGGCAGTAAAACCCAAGTGGAAATAAATTATAATAACAATTATTGTCGTTTCTATAGGGGAAACCCAAAGGCTATGGATGTGGTTCATTGCAGAATCGAATCTGCTGACGTCGTTAGACAGTAAATTAACCATCTGTCCAATGGTGGTCTCTTTCAGGGCCGTTTTGCTCAATTTTAACGCCTTCCTGTAGATCAGGGAACAGCAAGCAACGCGAATTTGCATCCCCAAGTGTTGATTCCCTAACATATACAAATGGGCGATAATGACATTTAGTAATGAACCTCCTACAATTATTCCCGCATAAATGTAAGCGTCAGTCTTGGTAAGATTTGAATCTGGCGATGTATAATACATGATCAGTTGACCCAACGCCAGAGGCTGTGCTATTCTAAAAATGGAGAGTTGAGTGAATATTATTGAATTGTATTACAAAAACATACGTCCTACTTCACCACAACTTCAATGAAAAACAAAACGCAACCAAGAAGAGCTACCCTCAAACCGAAAACTCGTATTAAAGCGCGCCAAAGGGATGGACTTTCTTTTAATTTTTCTCTCTTCCACGCCGCCTCTAAAACATCCCCCAAACGACTGGACTCATGGTCTTCCAAAGGCTCAAACAGGTCTTCCTCCTGCAGGTCCTTCTTGAATCCTTTTATGAATATGGGGATCAACCAACTAAAAAAAAATACAACGAGTAATTATACGACACGCTACTGAAGTGAAACTTCTTCAAACACACAATCATACTGGGATAGGGGTTAAGGAATTGGTTGAATGGTATTGTTTGTACACTATACTTCGCACGGGTGCAATGCTGATAGTAAATATACTATAGAATGTCTTTATATACAACAATCACAGCTTTTTTATCATTAGACAATACAAACCGTCCAATACCGCCGAAACAGCTATATCCCTGCATTTTAAGTCTGTAATATCTTCGAAAATATTCATTTAAATTACATGCTGTAAAGGGCCATATTGATCTATATTAAATGCACAATGTATTTAGAGGTGCTTAATTGGATAAGGATTAATGCTGTATTGCTTAAAATCGCTTCGAAAATAAGCCATTATTTCTCGTAAAAAGTAAAGGATAAAAATGGTTAATGTGGGTTATCCCTAAGAGATAAACATATACTATCTCGGACTTTTTTGCAGACCTTTTTAAGGTGTACAATACTGCAGTATATTATTTTGATCCATCTCGTAGGGTTCAGCCAGCGTTTGCAATGTAAGCGCAAAAAATATGTTTACTTACGACATCACATTACAAACCCCTAAAATTATCAGTGTTTCTCTACTATATTATGCATGTATTCTACAAATAAACCTTCCTCTTGAATTACTCTAACTATTAAAAAACGCATTAAAATCCGTTGCGTAGTTTTAAAGATCTAAGCATACATAGGGACAGACAGCGGGGGAAAAAATAGCAACTCGCATCAAACGAACTTACCCTACCGTGCGTAAAGAAGTTTCACTTCAAAAAATACAACATGTAATCATACAACACGCTACTGAAACTTCTCCAGACACACAAACATACCGGGATAGGGGTTAAGGAATTGGTTTAATGGTATTATTTGTATATTGTAAGTTTAAATTTTACACTATACATGCCGGAGTTGCCTGTAACGAACGTTGCATTGAAGCGCGCTCACGGCTCAAGCGATCCCCACTACGAACTCGACTACGTGGCGAGTAGAAGGGGGGCATCCGTTGCATGATTTCGTTACATAGCAACTCGCATGAAACGAACTTACCCTACCGTGCGTAAAGAAGTTTCACTTTGAAAAAGCAACAAAATGTTACGGCAATTAGTTTTTATGGACTGTCTTACCTAAAAGTGGCAATAGCAAATAAATTTGCCTTATTTCTTGGATGCTGTTGTCTTTGAAATTTGTTTTCGCTGTCCATGTTCGCTTACCAACTTGCTACTATGAAGTGAAACTTACCTGAAAACATTTAAATAGATACAAAAAGTGTGACACAAGTCGTACTTTGTGATAAGATAATAAATAAAAGAATAATACTTTCTGGTGGTTCATTTAAGCAACAATTACTCTTTCTATTTTGTTGTACAAAAGTTGCAAGAATTTAAATCGGATTTAGCAACATAAATGGTTCCATGCCCTTTTTATTTGTGTATACATATGACGTATTTTACATTTCAACCTCTACTAAATCGATATATGTCAAAAAAAATACATTTTGAGTCAATATTTCCTTTCAAATTACCTATTCAAATTATTTATTGCATAATGTGATGTTTTTTTATCTTAGAATTTCTCTATGGGACAGACTTATTATCAGGCTATCTCATATCTAAAATAATTCTAAAGTTTTATAAATTAAATGAACAGTGATAAAAAAAGTAATATTTAATTGAAAACGATTTGTATTCCAGATTTGATTGCAATTAAATTAATTTCACAATCTTACAATCCTTTTTACAAATAGTGATAAATCAAACAAGTAAAAAGCACTTTATGTAGGTAAGTACTGCAAATACGTGGTGATTTTCAAGGTTCTTCATCTTATGGTTAAATTAACTGTGTACATTTTATCATCTAAACTAATGTAGAGATGTAGACGATTACACAATAATTCATGTTGTTTATACGTTTGTTAAAAAAAAATAAATATGGTTTTTGCTAATAATTATTTAACTGATAAAATGAAATAATGTTACTCTTAAATTAAATAAGTACTTAAATCAAATCAAATGATAAAATAGAAATGTTGATACAGAGACATACGAAAAACATCAAATTCGCCAAAATCTATAAAATTTCTGTTTAACTTTTTAAGAAATTTCGCAACTGTGCAAAATTCGTTATGACGCATGATTTGAGTACATTTACGTAATACTTTTGTTGTCGCATTCTAATTTATTTCTACATATTTATTTATAAGATATAACCCCCCTATAGTACCGAAAAAGTCTTAATAGTTTTCAGTCGCCTCAACATTTTCATTACGAGTTCAGATTAACGCAAATTGACTCGATATTACAAGTTCAAAACCAGACTTCTTACAATTACTTTAAATTCAAATTCAAAGTATTTTTTTGTTGGATTAATATGATAAAAAGTATGAGCAGGGGTTTTAATTTTCCATCCTGCTATATTCGTATGTATATATATATATATACTTTCCTCAAAGTCATAATAAAAAACTTGATAGAACTACTTTAAACTTTTTATAGGTGGGCAATACACTTAATTAATGTTTATTGTCCAATACAGCCAACAAGTTGATTAATAAATTCTGTATTCTCGTATCAAAACAATTAATTATGCATAACTTAATCATATCATAACATTCGAGTTATGGCAAATAAAAGCAAATAGCATTGTCACTAAACAATAAATGCAATGCTCAGTTTATAAAATAACACATATTAGTATACAAACAAAGAGCAACTGTATGAACATTTACAATTAGTTGTATCTGTATTATGTTACCACGGTAAATTTTATTTATAGAAAATGCCTACTACCTTAGGACAAAATTATTACACAAAAAAGTAATAATAAACGTTATACCTATATGGGGGTTACAAAAATCCAAGTTTTTTAAATGTTTTATAAATATAAT